GGATGTTCATACCTGATTCCGAAGCAGACATCCTAATGAACAGATCCTGCTCATCAGATTGAAACTGTCTCATGTCAACTAGATCACCAAACCAAATGGCACAACCACTAGCTCTTCCACTTATATTCGCACTAGTATATGCCATACAAGAACAGTTTTGGGTGCATTTATCCTTGCATTCCTTGAGGCTCAAAGTTTTGTTTACCAATGAATGGGTAGCATTAGGCAGTTTCAAGCCTCTAAATTTTTTAAATACATCACCTCCCTGGCAGTTCAATGGCTTGTTTCTGACACATCCTTGAGACCAGTCCCCAGAGCTCCATCCATCTGGTGATTTAGGCTTGAATCCTGGAAAACATTGGCAAGCTGGAGATTGAGTACTGTCACAATTCCCATATGCACCACAAAGTCCATATTGATCACAATAGTCGTTAGGTAATAATGTGAAAAGCTTCCATGTTCGAGTTTCTTCATCCCATATGTATCTCCGCCTTGTGTTGTCAGTTTGGTTCAGAACAACCCTTAAGAGCTGAGACTTGTTTTTGAGGAAAAACAAGTAGTAGACCTCCTCTTCATTGGAGACAAATTCATCACCGAAAACTTGGTTATCAGGACCTAAACTTGGGGAGCCACTAAACCTTAAGCCATTCCAGGGACCAAACCGGAAGTGTATCTCTGAGCCTTTCAACAGCACAGCCTCAGGATTGCCTTGTCGTTCAATTTCCCAAGTCAAGTCACCAGGAGATGGATCATCAGCGTTCTTCCACGCTGAGAGACGCCGGTTAAGGCCAGTTCTCAAGTCCCATCCTAGTTTCATCTCTGGTAGCAGTGTATCAGATGGATAATCAAAGCTTTGCCACAAGTAAGCTTCCGAATCATCACTGCCATCTATCAAAACAAGATTGCCAGAACCCAGGAGCCGCAGTTTAGGATTCTGAGCTGCTTTTGTTGAGTTAGCTGACCAAACAACAGTTGTGTTCTGACTCAGAAGCTGAAGATCACCAGTGGTTGTCACCATCAGCATGCCAGAAGAGTCATTTATTGGATTCACCCTGTTTGCAACCCAAACAACTGTGCAGCCTGGGATGTCCTTGTACCAAATTCCCAAGTAACGGTTCCCAGAACTGCCTGGACTGAAGAAACCCAACTCAAAGCTTCCATCATTAGAAATTAAAGTCTTTCCATCGGGGAGAGGCTCAGATGGAGAAATGGAGGCAATTGCCATGGAGGCTTTCAAGAAGATTAGAAAACAAGTACTCACAAATGCTATCAAAGTAAAAACATCCATTGCATGTCTAAAATTGAAGCTATCTCCTGGCAAGATCAATTTTGAGCCCTCCATGATTTGCGCACGTCTAAATCCCTCCACGGAAAAGAAAAAAAGACTTGACTAGTGTGGGTGCCGATATGCTAGCAAAGAGACGGCTGGCGGATTAGAACAATTGACTTGACAAAAGTTTAGCAAAGAAAAGTCATGCGCAGAGTTGCCGGCCATTAAAACAAGTGGAGTTAAGCTGAAAAATCACCAGCTCAGCTGCCCAAGCAGAGGGTCAATAGTTGGCCAAAAAATGCAAAAAAAGCAAAGGGTTAATAGAATCCGCCTCTTACCCCACACTTTAATTCCATATTCTGGAAAATTTAGGCTTTGTGGGGAGACCCTACTTTAGATAAGGATCAGTGTTTGTCTTGCAACTTTTTTTTTTTTTTTTTTATCAGCAAAAGATAGTATTATTAAGTTGGAGTACAAGGGTACTTTTACCCGTACAAAAAAAGTAAATTATAAAGTTAGGGTGATACTATCAATACATTTATACGAAAATTTACCCCAAAATATAGATCATCCAAACAGTGATGGCATGGCCTTCCTTTTCCTACAACTGTTTTCATCCTTGTGTGATCTTTGCTGGGCAACTAAGGCATCCTTTTTTATGCCGTTTCGCAAGCATGAGCAGGACATATATACCATAGCTCCTTTGAGATTTCTGGCCTCTGTTTTGCTTTAATCCATTGAAAGGTTTGGAATTTAATCACCTCAATCATCTTGTACTGAGGTTCCAATTTTGCCTTAAAGATCTTTTGATTTCTCCATAGCCACATATTCCATACAACTGCAAACCAAATCACCTTCCAAGCTTCCTTTGCAAATTTATTGTTGAAAAGTCCTACATGCTGGATCAAGTGGTTCCAGCCCTTTTCTTGGGGCGCCACATTAATACCCCACCACTGATAACACGATGACCACACCTTCCATGCTATTGGACACGAAAACAAAAGATGATCTATGCTTTCAGCCTCTTTCCAACATAAAACACATGACTGGTCTTCTTCACTGCCCAACATTCCTCATTTTTGTAGATTATCTTTTGTTGGGATTCTATGTTGCATCACTTTCCAAGCAAAAGCAACAACTTTTAATGGTACCCTTCTATTCCATATCAGATTGTAGTCTCCAGGCAGATCAGGGATGGGTGTTGTATTTAATAGATTATATGCAGAGGACACTGAATATTTGCCTCTAGGGTCCTTTTTCCATATCCATCTATCTTCTTGTCCTTGAACCAACTTCCTTTTTTGAACTTCCTCTTTAAGTTCCAACAAGATGTCAATTTCCCAAGCAAAAGTTCTCTCCTCCAACTCCATCTCCATTGCCACTCCCCATCTCTCCATTCTCCTATATTAGATATCAAAGCCTCCCTATTGCTTGTTATATTGAACAATCTATAAAATCTATCTTTCAATAAATAATTACCCACCCATTGGTCATGTCAAAATAATGTTCCATTCCCTTCCCCAACCATCTTCTCGATCACCATCCTAAACCATCCTTCTCTACCCATAACACTGTCATCAAGCTTCCATATATCTTTCCACCACCTAGAGCAATAAGTACCCCACTCACCTCCCCTCCAAACATTTATTCCATTCACATCATACTTATACCGTAAAAACCCACTCCATTGAGACTCTTTATCCTCTAACAACCTCCATCTCCACTTTCCTAGTAATGCCACATTAAAGAGTCCTAAATTTTTTACTCTGAGACCCCCATCCCTTCTTTTCCTACAGACTTTCTCCCACCCCACCCAAGCAATCCTAGCACTCTCCTCACTTCCTCCCCAAAGAAACCTTCTCTAAATTAGGGACAGAATATTTAGTACCTTCTTGGATGCTTTAAGGGTTGAGAAATAGTAGACTGGGATACTCGAGAGGACATGTTTAGGAGAGTAATCCGCCCAGCAAAAGACAGCGAGTCACACCTCCAAGTTGACAATTTATGTCTAAAACACTCAATCACAGGAGTCCAAGTAGATAATTTCCTTGGATTAGCTCCCACAGGGACCCCGAGGTAAATGAATTGTATCTTTCGCACCATGTAGTTTAGCATATCAGCCAGAACATTCAATTCCTCTTCTTCCACATTAACTCCAATTAAAGAACTTTTAAAAAAATTGACCTTCAAGCCTGAAACAAGCTCAAAGCTCTTGAAGATGCATTTGATTGCCCATACATTCTCCCTATCCACTGGAAGCAATAATAATACAGATCTTAAGAATCAAATAGGATGGTATCATTGCCTTGTATGTATAAAACAAGACAATGGATGAATCTATAAACAGTATTTCATTATGATATACAGCATGAGACATAAAGTTCCAGATTCCTCTATCGAGCATTCAATAGTGTCAGACTAAGTTCAATGGTTTCAGATGATTCCATCATACTTGATGAAGAACCTTTTCTAATGATTTCTCTTCCATAAGGAAACCGGGTTCTTTTGGTTGCGCGAACAGAATCTCACTACCCAGCATTAGAACCATGGATGGCATGCTAGGTCTGTCATCACCATGTTGTTGAACACATAACAGACCTATTCGGATGCACTGGGTCACTTCTGATAGGGTGCATGACTCTTCCAAAAATGAATCAATCAGGCTTTCCTTCTTTCCACAATCTCCATGCCTAAGACAAATACATATTGTAAAACTTTTCTATGGTCATTTCAGTTCAAAGCATGCTCCAAAAGTAAGCCTTGATACTTACTTTCAATCAGGTTAAGGTCACGGTTAATATAATAAAACCCTCCGATATTCTCCCCATGTCTTGTCTTCAGCAACAGTATACCAAAGCTAAAAGCATCCAATTTAACTAAGAATTCCCATCAATGGCATATTCTGGTGCCTTATAACCACTGCAGAAAATCATCCAAAGAAAATTATACACCTGAGGATATTGGGGAGATCTAAGTGTAGAAATAAGACTTATTAGGTTCCAACCACTCTCTCTGTGCTCCCTTCAATCTGGTATCCTTCAAAAGTTCTAGCCATGACAAACTCTGAGATTTTGGGTTCATTTCTCTCCCAAGCAGTATCTCTATGAATGATCCTTAATCTGGAATCTTGGTGCAGATACAGAAGCCCCCAAAAATTCCACTGATAATGTGGAAACTCTTGGATCAGCCTAATAGTTTTCTTCCTGCTTAATCTGGCAAGTATGATGTTCGCATTAGTGCAGTTTCCTAAAATTGTGCATGTACAAACTAATTCTGATAAATTCATGCCACTCCTACATAGCGTATTTGGTTTTTAATCTGACCAAAAATGTAGAAGTCCAAACTTTTGTTGGACATGTATTCACAAATCAGCATTTTCTCCTCTTCTTGGAGGTAGCATCCTAGAAGCTTTACAAGATTCCGATCTTGAAGTTTGGCTATAAGTGCAACTTCATCCTTGAACTCATTTAATCATTGTGCAGAGCTTCTTGAAAACCTCTTCACAGCAATTTCTTGTCCATTGGCCAGAGTACCCTAAATTATGCACCATAGAACTTGTTATCATATTCTGCAAACAAAATCTCTCTCTTCCAATTGTTCATTTTTATTTTGAAGTATAATATCAAGAATGTACCTTGTACACTGGCCCGAAACCACCTTCCCCTAGCTTCTTGTTAATTTGTAAGTCATTTGTGGCTTTAGCTATTATAGGTAGGTCAAAATACTGAACTTCCATTTCTTCGTTTTGCCATTTTTTGCTTCAGTCACCCTTCACAAGAATTTTCCCTCTCCCTGAAACAGTTGAAAATGTGCCGACCATAAGTCAAGTGTAGAATGTTATATTTGGACCCTAAGAACATTGGGCACAACCATAATTCTGAACAGGAAGGATGACATATATTTATACTAGCAGAATTAAACATGCTGAAATTCTTGCAAGTCCCAGATTCAAAACCCCTTATATCAATGTGAGCATGTAAATCATTGCAAAACAAGAGGAAAGAAAGAAAAGGACATACTTATGCGTTATGCCTACAAATTTTAAATGACAACATTATAATAAGGAACAGTGGTATACTGCATAATCGTAATCATCTGTGAACTTTGTTGAAATGTTAATGGTCTCTAAATCAACTTGACAAGCACGAGGCCATAACCAGATAAATAAATCCAAAATCCAAGTCAAGATGCGATGAAGCATGAATGAGAACAGATGACATGCCACAATCTCTTCAATCAATTTGATAGTCAAGGTTCTGCAGCTCTTAATTTCTTTCACAAGGCATTAATAAATTGTTAAATTCTAAATAATTTAATTAAGTCCTTAATCAAATGATGAATAACTGAATAATGAAAAAGGTTCCCTTTGAAACAAATCCAGGAAAGTTTGTAATGATTCTTTATAGTTTAATAAAGTTCTAGCAAATGGAAGTATGATACGATGAAGGCAGATAAAATTACCTTCTAATTTTGCACAGGTTCTCCAAATGTAATAGCTGACAAGAATCACACCAACAAATACAAGAACAGGAACTGAAATTATTGTGATTCTCTGTAATTTAACCTCAAGGATGGATTGTAATGTCAGATCCTGCCCACCATCATGAAACTGTTTAAAATCAATCAGATCACCAAACCAAATGGCACAACCACTACCTTTTCCTCTGATATCTCAGTGTGTGTGGGCCATACAAGAGCAGTTCTGCAAGCATTTACTTCTGCGTTCCTTGAGATCCATGCTTTTTATTCACCAAAGAGTAAGTTGTATCTCGCAATTTATTATGAATAAATTTAATAAATTAATCTCCATTCTCACAATCAAATAAGGGTTATTCCGTGTACACCTTTTGTGGTGATATAGGGTTGAATCCTTTCAAACATTGACAAAGTAGCAACTTGGTACTGTCACAAGTCCCATACACACCACAATGTCCATCGTTGTTGTAGATGCCCCTTGGCAGATAGAAATATAGGATCCGGTTTCTAGTTTCTTCATTCCATATCTAGCACAGACCCAAATAATTAGTTTGGTTTACAACAAACCTTGAGATCACTGATCTTTGATGTTATAACTGAAGTATATATCCTCCTCATTTGAGATAATGTTCAACTCAAAAACTGTAAAAAAACTTGATTTGGCCTCACCATTATATCTGAGACCATTCCAAGGTCCTGATAGGAAATACTTTTTGGAACCCTTCAGCATAATAAGTTCTGGGTAATTATTTAGTGCTAGCCCCAAAGTAAAGTCTCCAGAAGATGGATCATCTGGGCTCTTCCATGCTGATTCCTGTCAGTGAAGACCAGTTCTCAAGTTTCACCCAAGCTTCATCCCTGGTAGTAACTTGTCAGTTGGATAGTCAAAGCTCTGCCACAAAAATATTTCTGAGTTGCCATCTTTTTCATCACTCAGGACAAGATTTCTAGAATCTAACAGTTGTATGACTAGATTTTGAGCTTTTTTGTTTGAGTTTGATGACCAAAGAGTAGTCTTGTTTTGACTGGTAACAAAAAGATTGCCTGTGGTGTTTATCATCAGCAAACCAGATAAATTCATGATTCGATTGTGCCAATTTGCAACCCACACGATAGTTCTGGTTGGGATATTCTTGTACCAAATTCCCAAATAATGGCCCTTAGAGATTCTGGAACTGAAGAAACCCAGTTAAAGACCTCCATCTTTAGAAACTCAGGTCCTGCCATCACTAATAGATTGGGACGAGGTGATGATATTGGTTCCAACTGAGAATCTAAAGAAGAAAAATATTAAAACGGTGTACACAAACTTGTAAAATAGAATGTCTATCTATTTCCTAGGTCTCACAACCTGAAGATTCACCCTCTATACTGTTATTAAAAGGACAATGATCTTAGAATACATACATAACCTCGAATACATGTCTTCCCCTCAAAGATTGCTAACTTTTTCTTGTTAGTTACTGAACACAAACTTTTTCAGTAATGACATGCAGGTATCCTATGATCAAAAGTTGTGCACTATTGCAAGGAGATATGACCTATTTTGCAGGTAACACAAGCCAGCCATGCCTACAAAAGATAACAATGGCATGTCAATACCATCAACGATTGAACAATGATCTATAGTACGGTTAACACAGATCATAATCAAATCACAAAGAAACTTATCCTCTGGCTTTCCTTTCTAGTTTTGACCATCAAAAGCTTCAAACAAGATACTCTTTACACAATTTATGATTCTAAGAGTGCGCATCTAAAATACTTCATCAAACAAAGAATTTTAGAGAACAGCATCATCCGGTGTTATCAAGACTAGGAATCAACCATCTCTTTAAAAATTTTAATTTTTCTTCTTTATATTTATCGCAACCGATAAACCAAATCATTTCCAGTCATCTAACAGAAAGATTACATGGATCCTAAAGCAGAAGCTTGGTTCTGTCATTTATTGGCCGCCAGATGGAATTGAAATTACTCACACATGACAAACTAGTATAAAGGAAATTTGAGATTAATATACAAAACTTGGCCATTAAGGTGATTATGTGAAAATGAAATAACTCTTGATCACAACTCAGGAGTCAGATTGCAATATAATTCTGATGTTCGTCACCAAACTAACCAGATTAAAGGGATGCTCACCTACTTCTGAGTTCCAATGAAGATTGCTTCTCTATGGATGTTTAAATCAAGGTTGATAAAGAAAACCCAGAACAAAACAGTAATCTCATTTGTTGAAGACTATGATTCAGTCAAAATTAATCCTTTCTGTCTATTCCACCAATTTCATTACATTCCCAGAAAAAGTGTAAAGCAAATGGTGAAAAATGTATGGTCAAATTCATTAGTAACCATGCTTGAGTTCCTGTTCAATAACTTCTTGGAACACAAACCGGGAGGCCTCCATCAACTCAGGACTCAACCGGAACATCAAAACGCAAAACTCCATCTGACTAAGCGCGCCGTCCCCGTCGAAATCCCCTTCTTTCAACATGCAACGGAGGTCATCATCGGTCAAATCCTGTAGCCCCAGAAGAGCAGAGTTCCTCTTTAGACTTTCAAAAGTGATGACCCCCTTGTCGCCGTCAACCAGCAAGTTGAACCCATTGCACAGCTCCCCGATCAGGCCGTCACCGCCGAGCTTGCCTGCCATGAGGGGCAAGAAATCATGGAAATTTTGCAACGGGTTCTGAGAAGAAGATGCCATCTGAAGAGTTGTTGCAGAGATAGAAATTCTGAAAAAAATTGGGTATGTCGAAGGGAGGAAGATGGGAATAAAGGTTCATGCTTGATCATATATATATATATATATATAAAGATGGGTGAGGAACAGGGACTTCCGAGAAAGAGCGACCATGGAAGCCAACTAAGGAACAGGTAATCAAGGAAGCTCGATCCATAACAATGTTCATGTTTCCTGGAAGGTTGCTCGGGGTTGGGGGGTGGAAATGTCATTTTAGCAGAAAACTTGATGGTGACTTCCGGCGAGACTCCTTAACGAGGAAGGATTCTCATGGTAAGTTTAGATTTTAAGGTCTGTTTGGTTGGCAAAATGTTTTTTCGTCCAATTGGTAATTTTTTTTTATTAATTTTTTATTAAATATAAAAAAAATTAATAATTTAATAAAATTTTATGTAAAATTTTATTATAAAATTTATTTATTTTTTATATTGTACTTATTAATTTTTTATACAATAATTTCATAAATACTTTTTTAATAAAATTTTTTTTAATAAAATTAAGATTTTAACTAATCATATATTAAAAGTGTAAGATTTGTTTTTTCAGAATATATTTTATAAGGATATTTTAACACACACTAACGGTAATCTTGTAATCAAAATATCATAAAAGTGAAAACCATAACTTTTAATTCTAATCATCCAATAGGATTTAATTAATTGCATATTTACGATTTAGGGGAATGGGAGAGAGAAGGGAAGAAAATTTTTTTACTAATTAATTATCATATTTTAAAAATATTATAATTTAATTAATTAAAAAAAATTTCCTCCTCTTTTTTTCTTCATTTTTCTCAACTCAAACACATAATAAATGAAATTTACATTGTGCACAGCTTATGATATAATTGAGATTGCAAATAAGATGTCTTAGTTCTTCATATAATGTCAAAATATTACTCTTTATGTCTTAAAAATGTATTAAAATTTAGAGATATTAGTTTAAATAGGTATAAATATAAAATTTTAATCATTGGTTATAAATTTTTTTTGTACTTTTTAAGCTTGTGCATGTCAAGCAAAATACTATAATAAATAAAATAGTCCAAGAATAATATGTAAGGAAAAAGTGTCCATTCACTTTGCTTTTTAAAAATTAAAATAAGAAAAAAAATTATTTATTTTAATAAATTTTTATTAAAAATAAAATCTCTTAATTTAAGGTAAGAAT